ATTTAAATGAGATTTGTTGAAAATATATATCACGTCGCTTTCCCCTTTTATCCTCTTTCCTTTTTTGTGGCCGTTTTGTCATGTGACTTGCTGCGACCTACATAGAAAGGTCATTCAGTCGTAGCAGGCATGAAATACAACTACAGTTCAGTGAATCCGGAGTTGACAAGTAGCCATGGGCATCCTAATGACATCAAAAGATTATATTAGCGCATTAGGTTTAATCTCTGAAAATAAAAGACTTTTCTTCTTTCCATAGAAGAAGAAATCAAGGTAACAGTAAGCTCAACAAGTCTATGCTTGCATCCTTTTCCCAGTCTTATTAGGTGCGTCAGAGGTGAATAACTCATGCTGTCTCACCGCTGAGAGGAAAATGTCTGACCAGTTACTGTATTCCTTGTGTTTTGGAAAATGATAAAGAATGACGCATATTAATCAGGTGCATTGTGGTTTGATTGAAGACATGATAATTTTCTAATAGTAAGTAGGCTATGGCTGTTCTACATCTCTATTTTTACTTGTACATTTTATACATGGTTTACCTCAAGTGATGTTTTTAATGCAGAAATGTTCGTACAATCGGGCGTATCCAGCTTTTCATTTGACATCTGTGATACTCATGAAAAAAGGTCTAAGTCGCAGACTTGCTCAGAGGATCTACTCTGCTGACAATAAAGGTGACGGAAGTGAACAGAACGTGTGCGCATTTAATAACTCACAGCTGCCAAAACAAAGTCCTGCAATGTAACATAACTGACAGAGGGACAACATAAAAGAGAGAAGAGAGAGAAAGAGAGGAGACAAGGCAAATAACCTCCAATCAAAACCTCAGACACAGGGAGGTGTTGTGTCAATCGAGCTCAACCGGTCATCAAAGACACACAAAATCCTCCTCTCTTTCTCTCCCTCCTCCAACCTTCACCAACACCTCTTTCTCCTTTCCTACCACTACCTCCTCCTCCTCCCATTACCTACTCTCTCAGGGCCAAGCATACAAGCTAACATGATTTACTACAGGCAGTTAATGTCAACCGCTGTAGTAAGCCACCAGGCTGACAGGTCTGGTTAAACAGGTTCTGAAGGGAGAGGCTGATACTTGTTTAACTGCCAAGCATGGCACACTGCTGCTGCTAGTGCTCTAACATGTAGCCTGGCCTTTGTGAAGCACTGGTTTTACCTAGTGATCTCCAAAGCAATGTTTATTAATACAGAACATATGAGGAGAAACAAATTGTTGTGAGATACATCACTGTACTTGTTAAATTAATATAAGTTTGACTACTTGTCTAATGTTAATGCACAGATCTCCACATGAATCAGCAAAGACTGGCTAGGCAAGTGCTGACAAAGCAACCTTGCACCTCATGGAAATCACATCTGCAGTTTTGCATTTGCTCCTTTTCTCACAGACATCAATGGAATCTCCATAGATGAAAATGCACCTTGAAACAAACATCTCTGACACTTTGCTTGGAGCATACCTGCTCCAAACACAGGAAACATAAAGGAAGCATTTAGTGAGCAGCAAGTTCAGGAAGATAGGGGAGCAAGTGATAGACCTTTAGTACAATCTATCCAGTATGTGTCAATAGTTTGCTAGGTTTAAACATAAACAAGTCATTTGTCTGCTGTGCATTTTGTTCATCATGTGATGTACTTTGAGGTCTCTGCCTTCACTGAGCCACACAGCCTATTTGTGAAGAAAGTGAGAGCAGATAACGATGGCTACTGTTCCCATTAGTTTGGGGATTTTTCTTTGCTGTTTATTTATAGCAGCATCTTCCAACACATGACTTAACCATCATCTGTGAACTACTGTTGAAAACGATAGTACAAGAACAATAGTGCTATCCAAAACATGTTTGTGTGTTTATGTGTTTGTGTGGCCTAGGCAACGTCACTGACTCACCGGATCAAACTTGAGCCTTTAATTTTATTTCCAATTTTCCTGAAACTTTAAAACTTTTTTTTACATAGTTTCAAAAAAGTATATCATGCCCCCTTCCCAACCTCTACTCGATAAAAAAAAAAAACAACTAACCCAGTTATAAAAGTTTAACATATCATAAAAAGTTAAACCATACACCATCATACCATTATTTACACAAGCCCATTAAATTACAACATAAATTAGAAAATATTTACATCCAGGACAAGACACTGGATAAAATTCTATGTTTGGAATTTAATGTCTAATTAAAAACATTTTTAAAGGAAGACATAAGTACATTTACACACATTCTCACAACATACGTACACTGGCAGGAGTGAACTGGCTGACTGATGTTAACTTGAGGTTTTTAAATACTAAAGATGATGAATACCTAATGTGGTCACAAAAATAACACCTTCTCTCTGCCAGATTTCAAACATAGAGTAACAATGGAAGCACTGCTATGCCTATCAACCACATGAACACTGAAGAGGCTTCTATTATACCAACTTTAAACTCTCTGGTTTCTGACTGAACACAGACTGATGAAGCAAAAATCATCATTTCTCACGCAGGCCTATGTAAGATTAAAACCATCTCTCATGAACAAAGTACAATAACACTGGAGCCATTTTTAAGTGGTTGTAGAAATCAAGCACAAAAAGTAAAGGCAAATGAAGTGGATTTTCTTCTCTTTCTTTCTTAATTAAAAAAACAGTCCTCTGCAAGTCCATCGAGATCCAGGAAATCAGTGGATTTGCCTCCAGACAGAGCGGAGGGAGGGGGAGCCGAGAGGTATTCACAGCCACAGCAACTCATCTTGAAATGATGTCCTGGGTAAAATGATATGGTGTGTCACACCTCACAGGGTAGGCTCCCATTAGGACCATGTCACACCTCACAGGGTAGGCTCCCATTAGGACCATGTCAACACCTCACAGGGTAGGCTCCCAATGTCACACCTCACAGGGTAGGCTCCCATTAGGACCATGTCCACAGGCGTTCATCATAGGTGCCAACACAACGATTTGCAGCCAGCTGTGATGTTTTTAGAAATTGTCCACTTCTCAATAATTTGTTAAAAATTCAACACAGCACACACACACGCACAAATTCGGCTCTTGAAATGGCAATACTAATACAGATTTTTAAAAAGTCCAAAAAAAGGGCAGACAGGGCGGCAAGATTAAGGGACTCAGGGATCTCAAGTTCACATGGTTCTCCTCTGAGCTCTCATTTCCTGTGTTTGTCCATTTTGTCGGTAGATTTGCTTCCACTGTCTGAAGATCCCTGGGTGTCACTACCAGAGCTCAGGTACATCTTGTCCACTTGTTTGAGTGCCTCGTTCAGGTAGTTTTGAAGTGAGGTCATGGCAGCGCAGATGGCTGGAGAACCAAAGCCATGAGTGATGAGGCTGAAGTGGGTCAGACAGCCTTGGATTCCAGGTTCTAGGATGGGTGCCGGCCGAGAGTTTCCCAGAGGTGAACGGTCCTGCGTGAGCAGGTCCGTGAACTCCTTGCAGATTTGCCTGAAGGTAGAAACAAAATGATTTAGGAAGAAGGAGGACAATACTTACAATAACTACATCTACTGAATCATTGTGCTATGAAGACAAATTCTACTGATGGAACTGCACTAAATTCAATCTGCAAGAATCCTCCAGTAATCAGTGAATACAATGAACCCATGTAAGCATTCGAAAAGGTCTAGATGTGTTAACTTGCTACAGCTTACTTTGCTAGAGGTGTATTTGTATGCAAATAAGAGGGAACCATCCAAAAGAGACACTTACTTGGCAGCGAGGAGCATGTTCTTACGAGAGTTAACCTCATTGCGTTCCACGTGTGGCCTGCCCAGGTATTCCGCAATTGCCTTTGCAGGGAACTCTGTTTCACAGACGTAACCAAAGTCTCTTGCTAAATGAACAGCTTCACCTAAAAGAAAAGTACAACAGTATTAAGAGTGTACAACAACATTTAAGTTCACATTTGGCTTGACAAGACAAAATCTATGAATAAATTATTATTATTATTATTATTGTTTACGCAGGCATTATTGCAGCACGCCCCTCTACACACCCAGCAAATTTACAGCATTACATTAGCAGCTCTGTTTTGGACCCCATATACAGCACACAAACATCAAGGCATGTGAACACATACACACAGACACACATTTCACTGAAGTGAAGCAGTTGAGCTACACAATAATCAGCTGTGCTCACTTGTCTATTTTGGGGGAAGAAGAGCTTGTGATATGAATATATTTCTGTCTTGAAGGTGGTTTGACTTGCATGGTCATAATGGGCTTATGTGGATATTTGCTAGTGGAGAGTGCCCACAGCACCAACAGCTCTGCTTATTGATAGACATGCACATCACTTGAGAACGCGGGCAGCTAGCACAAGCTTTACGGTCAGCCGGCCCTCCTGGCGAACCAAAACACAAGATAACAAGGCTCAATTCAGCTTTGCAGGTCTCTAAATAACACAAGCCTCCAGTCATACTGCTGTACAGAATCATCAGGCCATTTACAAAACTTGGACATGTAGGGAGCAAGAGAGGAAAAAAAAAACCCATCGCCGCCTGCGGTAGGTAGATGTGATTAAAGTGTACCGTGGTCATAGTGGAGCAAGGCTGTCTGGCTGAGGTGGAACGTTTCTTATTCATCACATTGACAAGGAAAGTTAAAGGTGTCATGTTATGTTGTATCATTGTTATAACTGACTGAAGAGCTGTGGCCATGTTACATGATGCAGACCATTTAAAGGAGAAATATATCCAAGTATAGCTTACAAAACAGTGTTCAGTGTTGAACTTCAGCTGTGTTTTTACTGGATAATATTTATTATAGTAATACAGTTGCCACTGAGATGTTTTGTAAGCAATGCTGTTGCTCCATAAGGCCTGTGCAGGCATTAACTTCAGTATAGACTGAACTGAAAAGGATTGTAGCAGGTCTTTTTGATAGACAGAGAACAATCAGCTTGCATTTAGACATCAGCTCTCTCGTTCTCAATTAGGCTAAATGGATGAAATCCTTTCAGGTATGAAAAGAAGGACAATTAACAATCTGGCAAATAAAACAAAATTCCTCAGGAAAAAAAAACTGTGCAATTTGTATTGCCTTTATATGATGGCGTCTTTCAACAATGAATGGTGTTTGGAGAATGGCTTAGGATACTGTACAGTACTTAAAACACACATACCAGGTGGAGGAGACTGACGCTCCCACATTCTCATGCTATCAGAGTGACATTCCAGGCAGTGCAAACAGCAATTACAACCGAGAAGGTGCTATGAACTACTGAGTGACATGTCATACCTTCTACTAGTGAGGTAAGTAGAGTGACATTGGCTGCCTTTCTCCTTCCTGCAGGCAGGTTCAGCCCGATTTTATCCAGCTTTTCTCTCAGTGAACGACCTCCATTTTTTGACTTGGCTCTGCAGGAGGAAAACAAAACATAACAAAAATACATATTTAAAACAGATTTTGCGAGACTACATCTTTTTTGTTTCATAATGTGTTAACGTTTGGAGAAAATTGTTCATGGGGGATTAGGAAATTAATATGGCATTTGCCCCTCTCTTGACACATTATAACAATTATCTTCTTTCAATTAGTGTCTGCTGGAGGACATTTAGACAAAAAGATAATGAAGAACAGACTATCCACTAAAATCCGGAGACTGCAGTACATGACAGAGGAGGCCTCATCCTACACTTCTGATTACAAACAAATCACACACCAACAGGCTCTCCTGACCTACAAAAACACCCACACAATCGATGCCTCCACTGAAAATGTATAGCAGAGAAAGCACTCGTACACGTGTATGCAGAAACACTTAAACACTCCACTTGCCATGACCATTTCAGTTTTCCACATGACTGGCAGTCAAAGCTCTCCCGCTACATTGCAGGTAAAAGCAGAAGCATCTTTAGGGAGGCATTTGTATGAGTGCCCCCACCCCTTCATCCCCTTGTCCCCTTGTCCTTCAGCTGATGAACCCCCTCCTATTGCTATATGACCTACTTACGTATGTCTGTGACTGTGTATATATGTGTGTGTGCATATGTCAGCATGAGCGCAGACACATGGGAAGCAGCAAAGGTGCACTCTAAGCACAAAGTGCTTTGGTCAGGACATACTGTAACCTCGCAATCCCTCAGCAGACTGCCACAATAACATGTGTGCCATAAGGTCAGCTGCTCTGACACTGATAATGCCCATGCATTTTAAAAAGTTCTTTTATCATATATTTTTTCCTACCTCTTTCCTCCTCTATATTATGCTCTATATCCTTATTTGCAGACTGAAGAGAGCAGAACACACCCAGACAAAACACCTTCACATGCACACATCACATGAAAACCTCTTGCACACTCATTATACACACTTATATCCTTATGTTTTTTTGGCAAACATCCTGTATCTATTGTTTTGTCTTCCATGTCCTATCCCATTAATGTCCAATGGTTTGTGTTGCGAAAAAGTAAATAGAAAAAACATGCTGCAGCCCCTGACAAACACATGAATACACACAGAGAAATACACCCACAGAGTCTTTAGTACTAACTGTGTTGATGTAACCTATCCCCAGAAGAAGCACAGAACCAAAATTGCAGACCACACAAAGAATGTCACGAAACTGATGAGCCAGAGTAACAGATCCGAGCTGTGCTTTTAGAAAACCCTTTCCCATGGGCTTTTGCACTTTAGTCTGCACATCGCTAGCACTACAACACCTCAGTGTAATAGTCATTCATATCAAAAACAATCACACAACCTTATTAACAGTTTGTTAAATAAAATCAAGGAAACTGATTCTGCTAGGGTTCTTGATTTCTGTGAATCTGTGCTACTGTAATTGTGTTATGTTGAAGACTTTTACAAACAAAAATAAGGAAATCCAGTAAGTCCAGCCTGCTGTCAAGTTCAATAAGTCTGAGCTCTGACCTGCGTAGAACCCCTCCCAGAAGCGACGCGTTGAGGCACTCTGGGGGCGACAGACGTCTCTGGACCTCGGCTACGGTAACCTTGTACTTGGAAGTGGAGCTCAGCAGGGAAAGGCGGCCCGGTACGGAGCAGAATACCTCTGTGGGGTTTGATACCATGCCCAGCAGGGACTCTTTCTGGAAAGGTAGACCCAGCGCATTGCCTTTGGGAAGAGTGACAGGACCTGGAGGGTACGGAAAAAAATGTGGCTAAATAGAAGAGAAAAGAAGTACAAAAAAAATATTCTGGTCGTGCACTACCATTTGTTTATATAAGTAATTTTCCTGTGTATGTATATAAGTGCTAATCATCATAATCCTCTGTGTGCAAAGCAGGGAATTTGATGTCTTGTCCATAATCACAATGAAGAGTGTATATGCAGCTCGGCTTGCCAGAGAAAACCTGTGCTGCTGTACAAAGGTACATATACAAGGATCAACTACAGTAAACTTCTGAAATATTTTGTGGTTTTCCAGATACTGAATGCCTGATAGTTAAACAGCTAAATGCCCTCATGGCAAACACGATCCACAAACAGGTAGACAAAAACAGACTGCCCCTTACCACAGACTCTCCTTAGTACTGTTTACTACTGAGTTTCACAAGCTGTAGGTAATCTTAAAAATTGCGTTTTTATTTTTAGCTGTCCCAAAACGTGCATAGAAAATAGTTCACAGATTCAAACTTGTTTTTTAACCCCCCACACTGACAGTCATCGGACGAACAGAACAGTACAGCACACTACAAAACATAGCTATCTTCATCCTCACCCGCAAGAATTCCCCCCTGAAAATAAGTCCTCTGTAAGCGATCAAGGTTCCTGCCACCTCGTAGTCCTAATACTGAGACAAAAATCAAAGAGTCACATGAGTGATTTAAGGCTCCTCTGGGGCACATGGTTGGGAATGACATGCCATTGTTTACAAATGGAAAACCTAGAGTGCCCGTAGCGTGCCCTTGAGCATGGGAATGATATAATGAGCCATCACTGATTTCCATATGAAATGCGGAATAGTTAATTTATTGTAGTGTGTATTTGGCTTTCTGCTTATAACTACACACTGTAATATTGTTACAGTTTTTGCTCATATGCTTTTGGAAAAACACTGTTTTAACTGTAAAATTTCATAAAAGCTATAGAATTAACCCTAGTTTTATGATATTTATTGAGTGAGATATGAGAACCTAAGGCATGAGATTAACCTTTTGAAATAAAAGATGCTATTATATTTTATATTGTAATTTTTATAGCTTTTTACATAATTAATCTACCTACTTGTTATATGGTTCAAATAAAAACTGAAAGCTAGGTCATAGCATAATATGCTCAAGCTGATTTTTCTCTGACTCAAAGTCTGTTTAATGAAGCCCTGATGACAAAACAGCAAGAATAAGTTCTCCCTAAAAACCGTTCATGTCCCAACAAATTACTAAACTGTCCTTCACATGCAAGCCTAATGCCACACCCTGACAAAAGCTGGTTCTGCAGAGACAAACACTGCTTCAAAATCAACTCATAATTTCCTGTTAATATGAACTGAAAAGAGCTGCAATTGCGAGCTTAACCAGCCTAAAGATGATCCAAAGCTGTCCTCCTCTCTCACAGTCAACACCGACGCTGTGAGATTGCTCAATTTTCATGTCAAGTCAGCTATAGCCTGTTGCTTTTGAAAGGGATCAGTTTTTTTCCCACTGGGCATCCATTCAACTACCTTCACCAACAGAATGGGCTAAGGATCATGTCGAGCTTAGATAAGTGCATCTCATGGCTATGAGGATTATCATTGTATGCTGTGTGACTACAAATAGAAGACTCCCCCTTTGCTGTACTCTCACACTGAGTGCCCTAACATGCCACTATAGAAGTAGTTATGGCATTTCAAAGAGTAAAAAAATGCAGTCTTTACAGTAAGTTTCCAACCCTTATTAGGCTGTACAAAGGCACATGTACCCCAGGCAGCATGTTCTTTTCTTCCAAATTAACAGGCCTGATCTTCCTTTGCACTAATGATTAGCTTATTTACAAAAATGGCATAAACTCACCTTTTTTGATGACTGTCTGATCTGCCATAATAATACTGTGGTCATCTACATGCTGATAAAAAAGAAAAGTAACAACATGAAAATGTAATATGAGTCTTAATATTCAACATCTGTCAGAATTAATTTTACTCTTATTTCCTCTGTCATGCAAAACAAAAGAAGGAAAAGTGTGCTATAACTGTAATACTTCCAACAGGGAATCTGAAAGGCCATTAAATATTTAGTGACCTTTGACTGTTTCTTCTGGGTGATCAAAATATTATATGATAAACCAGATGAATTTATTTTATTGAGTGATCGTATGGTTTTCCAAAAAAAAAAAAAAAAAAGCTGCCTCTTGCACGGAATTTGATTCCAGTAGTTCGCTGTGTTTAAGTGCCTTCACATGCACGTAAGCCTCGGAAGTGGCGACTCCCACACACTTTTGCCTCTGTATTGAAATGTCAGATGATCATCTCAATCAAATCCACTCACTTGAACATCTTCCAGTCCGTGCCCCATGTCGTGCATCCCCATGTTATCACCAATAACCGACGAGTCTAGGCCGTGCGCGTGTGGGGGCAGCAGTTCCGGCCGTCGGAAGCCTTCTCTCCTCACCCCGGACGCGCCTCCTTCCAGGCCCAGGATCTGACTTGCGAGTCCGCTCCGTGCGTGGGCGCCCAGCCCCTCTTGGCCCTGCCGGCCGGGCCACGGCTGCTGCTGGTTCGACGAGGGTGACTGGTGTATGGAGTTGATGTTGAAGGGGTCGCCGAGGTGGGAGTAAGGGTCACTGGACTGCGGGTAGGAGATGGGCTGGTAGGGAGGCGGGAAGTACGGGGGTTGGAAGTCTGAACTGGCCGAGTGTGAGAGGGAGGGAGACGGGCTGTAGAGGTGCTGACTGACCGCGGGCAGGTGAGGCAGCCGGGGGTTCCCATTGCTATTGCCGTCGTGCCTTTCCTGTGGGAGGGAAGACAAAAGGCAGCTGAGAGATGTCAACAAGATGGCAGGTAGGGGTGACATTTGTCCCTCAAGTGTCTGTTCACGGGCACAGTGCCCAGTGCCCAGTGAGCATAATTTAGGGGAGATAAATATTAATTCATTTTAATTCTAAATTAAGTTTACAATTCTCTTACTCTTCTTCAAAGTATATAATCATATTAAATGCTCACATTAGTAATGACCCAAATAGAATACCCAGCATTTTTACTGCTTTTGCATAAGATTTGTGACATCATTATTATTATTATTAGGCCCGTTACTGTTGTTGTAATCAGAATACACTTTTTTTCTGAAATTTGTGGCTGTTTTTTGTTTGTTTGTTTGTTTGTTTTACAGTTACAGCCGTGTCTCCACTTTTTTTTTCTCCAGAAACGACTTTTACAGCCTTTGTCCCCCTGCTGTCGCTTGTTAAGTTGGCTGTGTAAAGATTTTCATTCTTTCGTCCTTTATCATATCTTATCGTTATGGTTAACGTACAGATAAAATCAGCCCATTTTCATCTTTCCTGAAGAATTGCAAACTTTTACTCGACATCACTCAAAGCGCACTTTTGTGTAGCTCTGTCGAAACTCACCTCACAGTCATCCTCATATTTCACGTTGTCGGCTAATTTCCACAACATCCCGACAGAGAAAAAGTCTCTCCGTTACAAGAAAAGGAGTAAAAGAAAAGGGAATATAGGCCTGTATATATTTCGCCGCCTGTGAGTTAATCCAGGTATGTCAAATGAAGGAGCTTCCTGGTGGTCATTAACCCTGATGTTCTCCAGCTGTGGCGCAGAGGCGAAGTTGGGAGTGGAGGCTGAAGAGGCGCACTGACCGACCGGCTGACTGTCCGAACACAGATGGGAGTTTCCACAGCCACTGTGACAGAAAGAAATCGTTCTCAAGCGACGTTTCCCCCTCTCGGGTCAGTGTGCTCTGCCACTGTGTTGTGGACGCGGGAGAAAACAGTGCATATAAGAAACTTGACTCCCTCTTATGGACAAAACAGCAAGGTTCAGTCTTATTGGAGCAAACATAAGCACTACTATATCTGCACAGCCACTCGGAGTGGGCGTCACTCTACCTGATGATGTCAGCGAAGGGAAATATTAGAAATATTGCTGATTGGCGGAACAACGGTCCAATCTGGAGTTTGTCCGTCAGTGCACGACAGACAAACAAACCCATGAACTTTAGTGCCACCTAAGAATGAATGAATGTCTCCTGGCATTTATTTTTAACTGTTTGTTTTTATCTCATTACGTTCTAACAGTAACTAAAACATGGAGCTTTTATTTTGATAGGGGGTCCACCTGGAGGCGTTGTTTCAGAATAAACCATTAGCAGAGATCGATGCTTGTGAAGTACTAGCTTCAGATGTAAACAAGTTATCTTCAGTTGCTGCCGAGGTACGAGGCCTATATGTAAGACAAACACAAATTTGGGAACCTTTTTTTTGTAATTAAGTGTGATACCATCTGTGTCAGAACCAACAAAACGTTGATTGACATTGCACTGCAGTGACGGGTTGCCAGGTTGGCCGCCTCTTGCCTTTCAGCCAATCTGTTCAGCTCGAGCTGCTTTGTCTCTCACTCGTGTCCGATGCTTTTCTCAACAGTTAGAGGAGAACCGACACTGTGACAGCAAAATAAACTATTTTTATTTTCTCTGAGTTGAGATAACGCTGTTTTTTTTTTATCAAATCCCCCTTTAATTGTGTTAACTTTGGTCTGTACCAGTACAAATAACTGGCATTTTATAATTGTCAAAGAGTTTTTATAACATCAAATTATATAAAATATGATTTTGATCATAGTCTTAGTCTTTATGTATTATATAAATGTTATATTTTATTTTTATCAAACAATCATTACATACAACATGACCCTTCCTTTAAACATTTTGGACTTTCTAGTCAGTCTTCTATAACTCCATATAAATAAACTGTATAAACAATGTAGCTATAATTATTTACTGGCGGTATTAATATTGTCAACAATGATGGCAATAATATTTGTGGCTACATCATGAATGCAGTAGATAGATAGATAGATAGATAGATAGACAGAAGCCCACAGTGGATCTCATCTTATTAATACACCTTGCCTTTTGAGCATTATATATCATTACGCACGCTTTATTGTCCGCTGTTATCCAGGGAGGACTCCATGTTTTCGAGAACAAATCCACTAATCTGAATATAATTTGTTCATAATTTGAACATGAGTTAATTCCCAACAGCACACAACAATTATTATTATTTATTATTATTACTATTATCAGTAGTAGTAAGGTAATATCGCCACTATTAGTATTTTTTGTAGTGGTACCACTTGACTTGACTACAGACTCAAAATGATTTTGGTTAATACTTTAACTTTGAGCTGAAATTCGTTATTATCAGGGTAAAGCCTTTCTCCCAGTTGAATGGGCATTTTAATGTCGGTGTTTCTCAGTGATATTTAAGTGCATGTTTCAGACCGCAATAAGCCCCAGGGGTTAGCAGCATCATTCCTTCAAAACCTCGAAAGCTCAAAGGATCTCAACAAAAAGCTCTTTCTTAAAGTCATTTACATTTTTGGTGGAGCCTTACAGTGTCTAAAACAAGGCTGCTTTGAAGCTTTGATATGCATCCAATCTCAGAAAAGGACTTTGCTATTGATATATGTGTCCAATAACGATCGTTCAACACTGGTGATGTGGCTTTTCGCAGTATATCCATTTCAAATCCCAAAGTGTTACTTAACAAATACCACAGAGCCCTAATAAATGTCACAGTAGTGTTCACGTTATCATTAAAAATAGAAATTAATTAAAAATTAACTTGGCTGTATTTTGGAAGAAATAATTAAGGAGATCAACAAGTAAATTATGCCCAAATGTTATTTAATTAAAAGCCTATCTCAAAGTCTATTTCAGTTTCGACCATAAATGACATCACTGTAGCCCCCAAACCAAAATACTCGAAGTTCTCCAGAGAATAAAGCCTTGGCCTTATTGACATTAATCACGGGTTATCCAAAGGTGCACACGGTGCTCGACTACAAACAGGTGATTACTGTGGAAAGTAATAAAACAAATACAAGCTCAGCAGCAAAAGCGATAAACATGATTCAGGTTGGGTTAAATTAAATCAGCCATAAACATGAACTCACCCTCCACTCTATCCTCTCCAGTACAGACATCTGCAAAGCTCCAGTCGCAGCAGTCCCACTGAGGCGCGGTGAAACCATGAGAGGTTTACATTGCCGTGTTCACCTGGTCGTAGTGCACCGCGCATGCGCCACAGAGCGTAGCACACCTGAGTGTTGTAACTCATCTGTAGCCCCTCCATGAAAAGGCCCATTGATCAATTTATTTATTTACTTACTTTTTTGTATACTAAAATCGATTAAAAGTGCGCAAATGTATTTAAAGTCATTAGACTTATATAGTTTTTTAAAAATAAAAAACAACAGGCAGTGACTCATATAAGATCGGCCTACAGCCGATATAGACTATGCTTAATTTCATGATCATCTGCTATTGTTGAGTAAAAAAAGATACGATGTTGTTGAAGGTAACGTTTAAGAAGAGGTGAAAAACAGACGTGGGGAAATTTCACGATGAGGTAATTCCACCCCAAAAGCCACACCGCCCCAGGCTGACCCAGAGAATCTGCTTTCAAAAGCCACTGAAGCTTTTTAAGGCCTAAAATGTCTCTTGTTATCTGATCTCCCAAACACTTGAGCTTAAACTAATGAACAGATCAAAGTGTCTTGGCTATGTGGTTGAGAATGTAGCTTACACATCTGGTTCTGAGAAAATAACATTACCTTTCTGCAGCGTCGACACCTGCCTTAAAGTAGTTTCCTCAAACAAAACGACTTCAAATGATGAGGAAGAACGAGGGAAACGGTCGAGCCTTTTTTGTTGTTGTTGTTTTCTGATAAGATTAATTAAATTCCTAAATCTGTGCCTTAATTGCAAAAGATTATCATGGGATCATTTTGTGTTAGACCTATGATTTCCAACTTTATTTGAATTCCAAATACTTATTCTGGTCTGCATGGACGTTAAAAATGAATGTTAGCTTTATAAATGCATTACAATTTATGCAAAGCTGCGTTCAACAACTGTAAATCCGGTAACTTTTTTAGATGTGCCAGCTGTCTACGATAAATATATCTTCAGAAACATCCATAAAAAATATATCTTGATGCTTAAAAAAAATTATGGGACCACATAAGGCAATACAATGCTTTGGGAAAAAAACGTTAGCTTGGTCTATTTAAAACAAACGAAACGGCTGCTAGAACATGCATCTGTCTTTGCTCCTGCACAAAGACAAAAGAGTTTTTATGATCGCTAAAAAGAGGTCAATTGAAAAAAAAATTCTTAACTGGAGCTTTTGTGGTTCTTATTACTGATGCATTATTTCTCTGTAAACCACCATATTCAATTATCTAAACTTGCGCAGAAAGATACAAATCAACAACAGAAACACAGGCAACAGGTTACAGCTGGATGAACAGACAAGAATGCAATGTTTATTTAATTTTTTAGCCGCAGTGATTGGATTATTTATGGCAGAACTTACATTTCATGAGAAGCAGGCAGACTCCCCGTGTATGTACCGCTTGCTTTTAAACTGAGACCACAGTCCGATTCAATTAACGCGTGAGATAAGGACGCCTCTGCTGCCCCCTTGTGTCCGCATCCTCACATTACCACTGAGCTGCTGTGGGCGGTTCTTATTCACAAAGGATCTATTTACTGTGGATGCAGCAGATTTAAATAAAAATATTCATATAAGTGTGTCTAGTGGTGCAATGTAGCTAAGGACACTTAGTACTACTTAAGGACACTTTTGAAGAACTTGTATGCTATTCCATTAAATACATTTCATGCCACATTACTCCACTAAATATAAGGGGGAAACAATATACTTTTTACTCCACTGCATATTTGGCAACTATAAAGTACTTTAAAAATTAAGATTTTGCACAAAACATGTTGATTTTATAAAATATGATGCTGTTAAATATTAAGTAGTGGTAAGAATAAAATTATGCATGGTTTGTGATGTAAGTGACACAACAGTAGGTCAAGACTGACGGTATTATTTTTGAAAATAGTCCCACTTCACGACATAATGTAAGTGCCTAAAACATTTATACAGTACTGTGTAGCCTACTCATGTGATATTATGTCTAGCACTTATAGCTTTGAAGATCTTTTGCAGACGTGTTCAAGAAATATAAAAATAGGCCATTTGGGTCTGACAATTTTTTCAAGCTTGAATTAAGCTTGTGATGCTCAAGACTGTCAAAGAGCACTTAGCTAAATGAGTGAGAACATAGATTTTTAAATAAGTTGCTTTAAACTGTCATTATATTGTTAACCCCACTTCCTTCTCAAGATGAAACAAATTATTACAGCATTTTTCACAAGTACCTAAATCATTTTCTGTATTGAGTATAATTTCCCCTAAAACGTAGGTACTTTAACTAGGTCATTTGTGTCTGATATCGTTTTTACACACACATATTAAATAAATAAGCTGTTTCCTTAAAAATTATTGGATTTAGATCTGCTCACTTTGTCTCACTGAAAAGCCCAGAATCAACTAGACAAATGCCTTTCCTGAAGAAAATATGTGTATTCTCTGTGTGTCTTACTGTGAGACCATTTGTGTGGTACCATGTTAATTTTAATGTTTCTGTTTTAAGCAATTAAAATGTGTACCTCTCCCCTTTCCCTTGCCAAGCTGTGTTAACCAATAGCAGAAACCAGTAAAAGTTCTAAATGCATGCCTATATAGCAGGTGGATAGCTCGGTTGCTAACACCACTGGCTTTTATATGGCAGGTCACTTCCCAGGCAAGGGCATTGGGAAGGAGGTGAAGCCTAAAGTCACTGTGTAGAAGTAGAAAATTTCCACACCTCTTGAATTACTGCCCATTTTTCTGTAATTCAGTCTTGTGGTGTGTTCATCATTAGTTGGAGAATCAACCTGTGGTGGAGCAGGAAAAATAATAAATGCAAAATCGCAATGAGAATGCAGAGAGCAGTGGATGAGATTGATGCAGGTGTATGGTTTGTTGTAAGACGACTTGCAGAATAAACAACTTTTAAATAGTATTTTCTGTTACTAACATTCAGTACTATCCATTAAATGGCAATTTAAAGGTACAAATAGCAATGTATGTACATGGTCACAATTTTTGTGAGCATGTGTAGGGATGATTTGTACGTAAAAACGTTTTTGAACGTGTGAATAAAATCTGTAAACAAATTGTTACACAAAGACACTGAAAACAAGCTGTGAACATCCGTGTACAGGCAGAAAGTAGCAAATTGCACAAGTTTAATGTGAATCTCACCTGAATCTGATTGGACAGTTAACAGTCCAATCACAGAGCAGAGTGAAATTGTCCAATCAGGTATTAGCTGGGTTCTTCAAGTTAGTCTCCGGTGACGGTTCTGTAAGTTTGGTTGTAGTGGAGATACAAGGTGGAGTATAACGCCAGCTGTTCTGCTACTCAGGTGGGTAGCATTAGAGATTGGAGAAAATCACAGTAAGCATTTCCATTTATTTGGTGAAAAGGGAAGGGGGATATAACTTAAGGGGACATTTAAATTTAAAAGTTCATGCTATACGAACAACCAAAAAAAGATTTTGTATTTCTATAAGTGGGGTCAAACTATGGAATAACTTAACTGTGGACATGAAAAATAGTACCAAAATTAAGGAGTTTAAATATAAATATAAATGTATGTGTTATACAAGATATTTGCAAGAATAAGAAACAATCTGTTTTATCTATGTAGTGATACTGCTTGCAGCCAATGTTGCATAAATTTTGTATAATATGATGTCATGGGGGTAGGATGGAAGTTTGACTTCTTCCTACTCCATTCAAACATGTAATAGGTGTAAGCAAACTGATTTTTAATTAGCATTGGTTGGATATGTGTAATCATGTGTGTTATTGTCATTTGTTCATTGTTCTGTTCTGTTCTGCATGTTTGAAAGAATAAATCAATCAATCAATCAATCAATCATTTCATGTGTTGCGTTGCGTTCTGTATGTAGGCAGCGCACAGGTGCTTCTCTGTTAACACAGTTGTATGTTTTCTCTTCTAGGTGGGATACTTTATTTAGTGTTAGCCGAATGCTAATATAGGGCGTTAGCAAACCTCTGCTAGCAAGAAAATTTTCGAGGGTAATGTTAGCCGTCCAGTACTCTTTTGCTTTGGTTGAGCCTGTCAATTGTCAGGCTAATTGTGAAACCTGCTTAAATCTAGGAGAAATCTCTTAGAGTTGACTTGTAACTTATTCCCTGTTGGATGTGTAGTCTTGTAGATGAAAGAGGTCCTCTAGTTTTACATGTTAGGTAAATGTTATTTATGTGTGATAATCGTGCAGCTCAATAAAAAACGTCGGGCGGTTTTGACGTCACCGGATCGTGCTGATGAAGACCCGATGTTTGCACCTTTGTTTCTGCCCCGATGAAGACCCGGTGAGGTCTTAACCGGTCGGCGTCTTTTTATTGAGATGCCCTGTTACAGGTAAGAGTGCTACATTCAAAATGCTGCTTAAATAATAGTGCAAAGGCATTAGCAGCGAAATATCCTTCTGAGACCCAGTCTATTCATTTGTGTCCTCTGTAGTGGACATTTGTTTTTGGTCTGTATCTTTTGACTCATTTGAGTTACCATACTAAGTCCTGATGTGCTGAAAAGAGGACATCCTGGCCTTTCCAATGATATGACATGTGTTTGGGTGGGGGGAACCTTGTATTCATGCTGAGACAAAATGGAGACTACAACAAAACACACAAGCCAGGAAAAGAGAAAAAATACGTCAAATACTGTTAAGATATTGTTTTTTTTTTTTATCTATGGTAATCATATATTTTCTTGTTAGGAATTATAAATTGGGGTCAGTTTAGCTAAACTTTTTGTTAGAGCTGTAGACTTTTCCTGCATGTTTGATTTTTATGAAATGTGTTAGTTTGTACAGGTTTCTGTCTCTTCTGTGATCAGAGTAATTGTTATAACTAGGACAGACATTATAGGACTAACTCCCCCATGTATCTTTCAATAGGCCACAGAATGCATGGACAAGAATATGGGACTTGCACAGCATAAATAGTCTCGGGCCTCCTGCGAGAAGGACCGACAGCATTCCGGGCCCCTGTCACTCCTACATATGGACATCAAATGCAAGTCGATGAGGTGAGAAACTTTTTCTAAAGTTGTGGTGGTTCAAGTGAGAGAATACTATGCAATTTCTCAGCTCTTTTTTTCCTGACAGACTAATTTCAAAAGTGTTTGAGCAACTTTGATATAAATTGTAATGAAAATTCTCAAAACTAACATGGAGCACAACGTAATTGCATACATTTCATTCTTTGTTCCGATCTGACCAATTTTTTCTACTGACAAACTTCCTAGTTTGATATACAGTGGGTACAGAAAGTATTCAGACCCCCTTAAATTTTTCACTCTTTGTTATATTGCAGCCTTATGCTAAAATCATTTAAGTTCATTTTTTTCCTCATTAATGTACACACAGCACCCCATATTGACAGAAAAACACAGAATTTGACATTTTTGCAGATTTATTAGAAAAGAAAAACTGAAATATCACATGGTCATCAGTATTCAGACCCTTTGCTCAGTATTTAGTAGAAGCACCCTTTTGAGCTAATCCAGCCATGAGTCTTTTTGGGAATGATGCAACAAGTTTTTCACACCTGCATTTGGGGATCCTCTGCCATTCCTCCTTGCAGATCCTCTCCAGTTCTGTCAGGTTGGATGGTAAACATTGGTGGACAGCCATTTTCAGGTCTCTCCAGAGATGCTCAATTGGGTTTAAGTCAGGGCTCTGGCTGGACCATTCAAGAACAGTCACGGAGTTATTGTGAAGCCGCTCCTTCGTTATTTTAGCTGTGTGCTTAGGGTCATTGTCTTGTTGGAAGGTGAACCTTCGGCCCAGTCTGAGGTCCTGAGCACTCTGGAGAAGGTGTTCGTCCAGGATATCCCTGTACTTGGCCACATTCATCCTTCCCTCGATTGCAACCAGTCGTCCTGTCCCTGCAGCTGAAAAACACCCCCATAGCATGATGCTGCCACCACCATGCTTCACTGTTGGGACCGTATTGGACAGGTGATACATACCGCTTAGAATTAAAGCCAAAAAGTTCTATCTTGGTCTCATCAGACCAGAGAATCTTATTTATCACCATCTTGGAGTCCTTCAGGTGTTTTTTAGCAAACTCCATGCAGGCTTTCATGTGTCTTGCACTGAGGAGAGGCTTCCATCAGGCCACTCTGCCATAAATCCCCGACTGGTGGAAGGATGCAGTGATGGTTGACTTTCTACAACTTTCTCCCATCTCCCGACTGCATCTCTGGAACTCAGCCACAGTCATCTTTGGGTTCTTCTGTACCTCTCTCACCAAGGCTCTTCTCCCCCGATAGCTCAGTTTGGCCGGACAGCCAGCTCTAGGAAGGGTTCTGGTCGTCCCAAACGTCTTCCATTTAAGGATTATAGAGGCCACTGTGCTCTTAGGAACCTTAAGTGCAGCAGAAATTTTTTTGTAACCTTGGCCAGATCTGTGCCTTGCCACAATTCTGTCTCTGAGCTCTTCAGGCAGTTCCTTTGACCTCATGATTCTCATTTGCTCTGACATGCACTGTGAGCTGAAGGGTCTTATATAGACAGGTGTGTGGCTTTCCTAATCACGTCCAATCAGTATAATCAAACACAGCTGGACTCAAATGAAGGTGTAGAACCATCTCAGGGATGATCAGAAGAAATGGACAGCACCTAAGTTAAATATATGAGTGTCACAGCAAAGGGTCTGAATACTTATGACCATGTGATATTTCAGTTTTTCTTTTTTAATAAATCTGCAAAAATGTCAAAAATTCTGTGTTTTTCTGTCAATATGGGGTGCTGTGTGTACATTAATGAGGAAAAAAATGAACTTAAATGATTTTAGCATATGGCTGCAATATAACAAAGAGTGAAAAATTTAAGGGGGTCTGAATACTTTCTGTACCCACTGTATGGTGTTTTGAGACAGCAGCTGTAAGGTGTGCATATTTACAAGTGCTTTTACTCTGCATTTGTATCCACCATGTTTGTACACAGGGTCAGAATGAACTGTAGTGTAACAGTTTCACTTACTGTATGATAATGAAGCTGTAGTAATAACTTCCAGTGTTCTAACTATAATGTTTATAGCAAACATTGTCATCACATGGTGATTGACCTTCACTGCTCTGAAGTGAAACAAGTTGATAGTACAGCTGGCAAATAGAATTATCTTTTAGTTCACTGTGGATAAACTTGTAAGAAACTTTGAGTAGCTGATTGAGTTAACTCCAAATGCATTGTCACAGATCCTGATCCTCCAAACAAGGCATCCACGGCTTTGGGGTTCTTCTTTGAAGCTGCAAAGAAACCTGACTTTCCATCCGGGTACTCTATCCAGTCTTGTTTTGATATTAACATTTAATATGTGAATAATTAAAGTGATCAATTCTTCTGTGCACTTAAATGACTGAAAACCCACATGCAGTCTGAAAAGCAGGAGTAACTGCTACTATGAAGCCTACTTTGAGAATTTGGCTTCATAGTAGTAGTTTCTCCTGCTTTTCACTCATTTTAAAGGACAATTTCAAAACTTTACTACAGTCAACCTTATAGAGTATTAGTATATTTAGTCTGTTTCGTCTTTCCTCCCACAGCCAGACTGCTAGAGCCATGGCTATGGAAAATGGGATGACTCCCTCATGAGGACATTGATGTAAGAGACTGACCATTTTTGTATAAACTTGTGGCTTAATCCCAGAAAATATTTCAGGGTGTTCTCCATGCTTATGAATATTTTCATTTCAGGGGGACCATTTTCCCAGATGTGGATCATGCTGGAGTACAGTGAAGAACCAAGGGAGCAGAACAAGACAGATTTATAGTTGTAGCTTTACTGAAGAAAACGAAACAAAAAAAAACATAAGACAGGCCCTGTTTTTAAGTGCTGCTGAAGTTTTGGGCTAAAATGGGAATTCCCTACTGGTGGGGTCATCAAGGCAGTGTACTTCACATCTCCATGCAGTTGCACTGTGACTTCTCCAGTCATGTGAGTCCTTTTCCTTGTTCATAAACTCCTAGTAAGGAACACCAGCCTGGTAGGCACTGTGAACAAAAAAAGGCATCCACTCCCACCTTCTGTGCATCAGAAAGCATTACTGCATGACATCAAAGTGATGAAGAGTGACAAGACAATACTCACAATATACCAGGGCAAGGTGAACAAAAATGTGTGCATCCTCAGCACAATGCACCAGATGGTGAACGTGGAAAGTGACAACCAGAAGAAAAAGCCAGACACAGTGCATTTACAGACCATGGTGGGAGTGGATGTCCTGGACAAAATGATCAGACAATACTCCACAGGAGCTGCCACCTGCAGATGGCCAGTTGCCATCTTCTATAACATGTTGGACCTGGCTGGCATCAATGCATGCATTCTATACCAGAGCTGCACAAAAGCAAAACGTGCTAGGCGCAACTTCCTTCTGCAGTTGTGTAAGGAATTGTGCAGTGACCACATGCAAATGAAAGAGGCAACTGAGACTGTGCCTCAGCCCCTTCCAGCAGTGGTAGAGCAGCCTCAGGAGAAGCAAAAGCAGTGTGCAGTGAAAATGCACTGCAGTAAAAATAAAACTGTCAATTTGTACATTAAGTGCCGGCAGGCTGTGTGTGGTCAGTGTACTGTCAAGGTCTTCAGTGGTTGTGATTAAGCTGTGTGGCAGAACATGGAGTAGAATAGGCCTGTGGTTCCCAAACATTTTTGACCAAGGCTCTTTCTTTGTAAATATTTCTGATTTCATGTTCATTTCTCATGAAAGCAATGAGCTGTTATTATTGTAATGTTCAGTGTTTATAAGCAATGTTCATGTTTTTATCTATTTGACAGCTTTCTCAATGTATTTTTCCATTGATAGTTGAACTGAAGTGAATTTATATTGTTATATTGCTAAAATAAAATTCTGATGTTTTATTTCATCCATTTTTACATGCTATTTTGAAAAAATGACCAAACATTCCAGTAATAGACTTCTAATTCAAAGTTGCCATTTTCATTGGGGTTTTTTGAATTGCTCTTTGTCTGGTCCCTCCCCTGAGACCAATTTGTCATGGGAGACCCTATCAGGGGCTAATGCCCCAGACAACACAGCTCCCAGGATCATTGGGACACACAAACCTCACCACCACGTTAAGGTGGCGATTCTAGGAGAGGTTTTTTTTTTAAATTTGGGTTTTACTAAGTTACATAACATCTGTCTGTACATGTCTGACAGTCCTGTCATGTAATTTAGTAAAGCTTCTGGCCTAATTGGTTCATTTGTTTAGAACGTTTAACAGCAGATTACTTGTCGAATTATTCTAATTTAAATATCTGCTGTTAAAGACGTTTCACATTTTCTGAAACTCGAACAGGAAGCGATTTTTCTTCGCCTATTTTAGTTTGAGCTCCTAACGACGTATATCAGTGCAGCTGCCCCCTAACGGCCAACAGACAGGATAACACTTTAAACTGTTTACATTAGTAGTTGAATCCAAGTACAATCAATTAGTTGCTGTACTTAGGTGCAATTTACAGGTACTTATACTGTACCTTACTTGACTACAAGTACAATCAATTAGTTGCTGTACTTAGGTGCAATTTACAGGTACTTATACTGTACCTTACTTGACTATTTCCATTGTATGCTAGTTTACACTTCTACTTCACCAGATTTCAGACGTAAATATAGTTTTTCTTCCACTACATTTATTTTACTCACTTTGCAAATTAAGCCCCTACATACAAAACAACATATTTTACACATTCTCAGTGTTTAACTGGGGTTTGGGAGGAATGGGGGCTTTATTAACTTTGGACTATTCTTTCTCTTGTTTGCAGATGACTGAACATACCCTTTGGGTTTAGGGGATGGGGGTCTGCTAAGCTGTGGTGGTCCAGCTTTGGGAAAGTCCTGGGCTTCTTTTAGAGCAGGTAGAGGCTTTAGCTCAGTTGGGCTGGATGGGTCAGTCTTCTTTGGAGGAGGAGGTCTCCTTGGTGCCATGGTGAGGGGTCTCTGAGGGGGCTCCTTGTGGGGAGGCACTGGTGGTTTTGATGGGGAAGATGAACTCTCCTGGCTATGACTGTAAATGTGCTTAATCAATGGTACTTGCCCTGCCCTGTTTAGGGCATTGTTTTACATTTTATCAATGTGTTAGATGTGGTGTGAATAAACACTCTTCATGTATAAGCATTGGACACAAGCTGTCTCCTGCTTCACTATAAAGTATTTTCTCAGTGTACAGTATGTGCGCTGGATGCTTCTAGCGTTTGCAGCACATTGCAAGATGCATGCTCAACCACAACTGGTTTATCAACTACAGAAGTGGTGCCATAAATCCTGCTTATAGGAACACATGTTAAACCAGATGACTGTGAAAAATGCCTTCTAGTGTCAAAACTCTCTGCATACACTACTCTGCACAGATAAGGTTAAAAATCCAAGCGAGGTAACAAAAAGCAAACCTACTTTTGAGCAGAGGGGAACTTTTAAGTATTTATTTTAATGCACAGGCTTTTACTGTATTGCTACTTTTACTTAAGTCAAATATCAGCATATTTTCTAAACCACTGGGCCTAATCAGAGGCTGTTGTTTTGATCCCTGTATCATTAGATGAAATCCAAGTGAGACCATATGTATGGCAGCAACCAAGCAACAGGATGACGTCTGTTTTCAGTAATATTTATGGAGTTAGACGCTGCCAGCTGGGTGTCTCCCGATCAACACAATGAACACTAAACCTGTCAACAGATTTCATTTTCACACCTCTTGCATGCAAACACGTAATCTGCCGTATGTAATAAGAGCTTTGTTTCTGGTGTGAATTTTCCCAGGCAAAAGGCACAACAGGGAGTTGTTGCTGTCACCATAGCCAATGACTGCTGTGTAACCAAGAAACAGACCATTTGTGCACATTTACTTGTAATATAGGCAACACCATAGACAGATAGAGTGAGAAAATCATACGTATATCTACTCTGTGTGTGTGTATATATGTATGTATATGAACACACACATGTACATGGGGAGAGAGAGAGGGACACAAAAATTGAGTATAAATGTATTTTGTTTGCTCATTACATGCAAAGAAAAGTGTGCATAAAATGTAAATCGATCACAAATGTGACATATTGCGACTTTCACTTCTTTAAAAAAAACTGAGATCAGCACAGATAACTGGAAACACCTTTAGGGAGGAAATATACTGAGTTAAAATGATGTTTCCTGTTATTTTGTTACATTACAACCGCATCTGCTCCTTTTGCACCGTGAGAACTTTGGTTGATTTATGAACATCAGAAGCCTCAAGAAATATGATACTTTAAATTTTTTTTAAAGTGCAAACCTCAATTCCCTTTCAAATGATGTGAAGGTTCTCTGCTAAAGTGGTTTAATAAATTCCAAAAAGAAGAAATAAGGGCCGAGCATATGCAGATAAACCCTGTGAGGAAAAGCTGGCAATCTATATTACAAATGCATTCACAGACAATAATTACTGAAGACAAGTGCAACCCAGTAGGACCTGCTTTAGAAATGTAGAGTTTTTGCATTTTTTTTCCACCTTAACTAAAAAGTGAAATCAAACCTATATATATATATATATTACCTCACTGCTTATGCACGAGTTGCAACCATGTAGCCAATGCTTCAAAATGCTGCAGTCTGTCCACTAGGAGGCAGCAGAGTGACAGAGATGATAAAGTCACTCAGTTCTTGGTGCAGTGACTGAGATCACAGAGATACAGGTGAATACATGAGGGAGGAATCAAGTTACAAGACAGTCTGAAGAGCTTGGGGAGCCATTATCTAAATGTTCACAACATGTAAACACTGAGCCACTGGGGAATGAGGAAACAAACTGTGAAAGCGTTCACACATTGGTGACATTAATAGAGGTCATGGGTAATGTGCAGCATGTGTATGTTGGACTTGGGTATACAGAACTAGATTTATCAGTAATGGGTCTAAAACAAAACGTGGTCTAAGTGATAGCTACTAGAAGTGATATGGGGTGTGGGTGACCCAGTTGGATGTCTGCTCTTTAGTGCGCTTGGCAGAGCTGTGGGTGGTGAACAGGGACTTGAAGACTTCTGACTTCTCCTCCATTTTCTGAATGGACCTCTTAGTGGCAAAGGCTTTAGAGGAGCTCAAGGCTCCAGAGGGTCCAGCTACAACTGGGAGGTAAAAATGGCAAAACAAAAATGAACAATAATATATTTACATAGTCATGGCCAAAAATACTAGCACCCCTGCATTGCTGTCAGAAAACGCACCACTTCTCCTAGAAAATTGTTGCAGTCACAAATTCTTTGGTATTCTCCTGTTTATTTCTTTTGTTTGCATTGGAAGAACACACAAAAAAATAGGGGAAAAAAAAAAAAACCCAAATCTGATACCTTCCACACAGAACTCCACAAATGGACTGGACAGAATTACTGACACCTTTGCAAGATCATCAGAAATAGTTGTATTTCAGTTATGTGGTGATCCTTTAATTTGTCATGAAACTCCCCTGTAGCAACCAACAGGTGCTGGCAACACAGAAATCACACTTACAACCATTTAAAATGAAGAAAAGTTGACTCGACCTTTGTGTCGTGTGGACCACATTGAGCAGGGAGATGAGAAAGAAGAGCAAAGAACTGAGGATTTGAGAACCACAGTAGTGGAAAAGCCTGGACAATCTCAAGGCTACAAGTCCATCTTCAGAGATCTGGCTGTTCCTGTGTCCACAGTGACAACATTGTCAAGAGAAAAACAGAGGACAGATTGCAGCGAAGGATTATTCCAATGGTGGATAAAGAACCTCAATGAACTTCCAAACAAATTCAAGCTGACCTGCAGACGCAGGGTGCAACAATGTTAGCTCACGCTATCCGTCGCCATCTGAATGACAAGGGACGCTATGGTTGGAGACCCGGGGGACCCCACTGCTGGCCCAGAAACATAAAACAGCCAGATTGGAGTTACCTTACCTGAGGAAGCCACAATCCTTGTGAGAGAACGTCCTGTGGACAGATGAGACTAAAATAGAGTTTTTTGGTTGAACACATCATTCTGCTGTTTTCAGAAAATGAAATGAGGCCTTCAAAGAAAAACAACGGTCCCTACAGTCAAACACAGTGGAGGTCCACTGATGTTTTGGGGTTGTTTTGCTGCTTCAGGCACTGGATGGCTTGACTGTGTGTCTGGCATTATGAAATGTGAAGACTACCAATGAATTCTGGGGCACAATGTAGGGCCCAGTGTCAGAAAGCTGGGTCTTGGTCAGAGGTCATGGGTCTTACAGCAGGACGACGACTCAAAGCAGGCTTCAAAAAGCACCAGAAATGGTTTCAGACAATGAGCGGGAGAGTTCTGAAGTGGTTCAGAGCTCCTGTGGAGAGATCTCAGAACAGCAGCTGGCAGAAGGAACCATTCAAATCTGAGAGACCTGGAGCAGTCGGCAAAAGAACAGTGGCCCAAAATTCCAGGAATCAAGTGATTTCAGTTATTTTGTTCAAAGGATGTGCTACCAAATATTAAATTGAGGGTGTCAATAATTCTGCCCAGTATATTTGTGGAGTTCTGTGTGGAATGGATCAGATTGGGCTTTTTTCTGTCGTTACAATGTAAGCAAAAGAACTAAACATGAGAATGCCAAAGAATTTGTGATCACCACAAGTTTGTGTGTTATCTGAGAGAAATGCAGGGGTACCAATATTTTTGGCCATGACCGTACATTTAACTGCATACTGTTAAAAACAAGAGACCGGCTGTGTACTTGAGTAGTTATGTAATCAAACTCAAATCATAATTTGCCTAGATTCTGTCTGTCTGTCAAGCATTTAAAACAGTTGATATAACACCACACATTTGAGACACAAAACTTTAAACAATCATGTTTAAGAATGACTATGCTCTGGGGGTGGGGGGGATTCCCTACAGTCTGTTGGATATAAAATGCTGAAAACTTTAGAGAGTTTCTGCCTACATTTAAGTTTTGTTTGTCTGTATTTAATCAAATCAAAGTGTGCTTAGCTACCTGGCTGGCTGCTTTCACCACCATTTTGTAGAGAAGATCTCTTTGCTACATCCACTTGTAGAGACGAAGCATCTTCTGCAGGAGGAAACACAAGCCAGGCAATTAGATTAAGCCCGGGGATAATTCAATGTTGCATTCAAATAAACATAATTTGTCCTGTGGCCTGGAAAAATTACAAATGAATGCATATTGTAAAGACAAACTGACTTATACATAATAAAAGCTTTCTAAATCAAGCTGACTTATTGTTTATTTCATTATAAGGCCAACTCCCTGTTCACTTGTGAGGTGACCGCCCTGTACTGTTCTGGAGACCTGCACAGGAAGCCACACCAATGCTCTCTGAAGACACAGTGCAGGAGGTCTCTGATCTGAGACTGATAAACCCAACTGTACCTCAACCTGAAAGTGTGCTCAGAGGAAGAGCTGTGTGTCAGCCGTGTCTGACACATAACTGCAAAGCCACCAAAAGCTGAAGTAACAATGTAACAAAGACATCAGTTAACAGAAATACAGGAAATCTGTGTTCTCCTTTTGTTAAGGCCAGTGCTTTGTAGCAGATGGGCCACCTCACCCATTAATTCCCATACAATGAATTATTTGTAGTGGGCCACCACAATGTCAACACTGACTGCCACATATTGATTTAAAATAGGTTAAATATTGTCTCAGTGCAGTGCCGTCCACAAAGCATGTACAGTATTTGGTCAGTCCCTCTGTGCTGTGCTCTATTTCTCTCTCTCACACACATAAAACACATGATAACCATGACAATGGGCCGACTGTGAACAGTTCCTCCGTGTGTGTTTTTGTTTTGTTTTATTTTTTTTTTTACACAATGCTGTCAATCACAAAGATTCAACTCCTCTGTTATTAGCAAGCTAGTAAGGCCGCCTAAGCTAATGTTAAAATACAACATGGATGTGTATGGACTGCTCTGCAAGCGGATAACATTAATGCTAGTTCATAAACTCTGGTCCTGAATGTTTGCTCCCTCAGTCTAGGGGAACACTAAGAACAACAACCGATAACAACAACAAAAAACACTGCCAATAACATAAAACATAAGGTCACTTTATTAGAAAAGAGCACACAGACGGTGACTAGACTGTCATCTACTAACTATACTGATCATGAGTTAAGATGTGTCAACATCCATGTGACTTACCACAAGTCATTTACCTCCCAATTCTTGCTGACTTCCTGTTTTAAGCCTTTATTTGTGGAGTACTTCCTTTTTCTTTTTGTTCCTTTCTACTAATTCCATCAGCACAGACCACTTTCAATAACATAGTGTCCACCAGTTTCGTACGACTCAGTTCTCTTCTTTTACTCCTTGCTGGATGACAGTGTGAGACACTGACCCTTTTTGACTGCTCTGTCTACCATATACAGTCAGGAAAAAAATTATTTGAACCCCAGCTGATTTTGTAAGTTTGCCCACTAACAAAGAAATGATCAGTCTACAGTTTCAATGGTAGGTTTATGTGAACAGTGAGAGACACAACAATAACAAAAAAATCCAGAAAAAAAACATTACAAAAAAAGTTAAAGTAATTTGCATTTTCATGAATGAAATAAGTATTTGATTCCTTTGCAAAACGTGCTTTAGTACTTGGTGGCAAAACCTTTGTTGGCAATCACAGAGGTCAGACGTTTCTTGTAGTTGGCCACAAGGTTTGCACACATCGCAGGGCGGATTTTGGCCCACAGCAGGATTTCAGTCCTTCACGGCGTAGTGTGTTACCAACTGTTTTTTTGGTGACTATGGTCCCAGCTGCCTTGAGATCATTGACAAGTTCCTCCCGAGTAGTTCTGGGCTGATTCCTCAGCGTTCTCATTATCATTGAAACTCCACGAGGTGAGATCTTGCATGGAGCTCCAGACCGAGGGAGATTGGCAGTTAATTTATGTTTCTTCCATTTGCGAATAATCGCACCAACTGTTGTCACCTTCTCACCCAGCTGCTTGGCGATGGTCTTGTAGCCCATTCCAGCCTTGTGTAGGTCCACAATCTTGTCCCTGACATCCTTGGAAAGCTCTTTGGTCTTGGCCATGGTGAAGAGTTTGGAATCTGGATTGATTGATTGCTTCTGTGGACAGGTCTCTTTTATACAGGTAACAGACTGAGAGCTCGTTACCTGTATAAAATACACCTGGGAGCCAGAGGTCTTGCTGACTGATAGGGGATCAAATACTTATTTCATTCATGAAAATGCAAATGAATGTATAGCTTTTTTGTAATGCATTTTTCTGGATTTTTTTGTTATTGTTGTGTCTCTCACAGTTCACATAAACCTACCATTGAAATTGTAGACTGATCATTTCTTTGTTAGTGGGCAAACTTACAAAATCAGCTGGGGTTCAAATAATTTTTTCCCTGACTGTACCACTCCACAGACACACTAGTCTCTTGTTCCTGTGTAGTTTCATTTGGATAATGCTTCTGTCCAGAAACATTTGGTGACCCTATTCTTTTTGCTCTTTACCTCTGCTGCTGTTTCACTCCTGAATTTCATTTTGTCCTGCTCATTTCCGTTAGTTATGCTACTGATGGTGAAACTCACCTTGGAACAGATTTACCTTTTGGGATTAGATTTTGTTTGGACATTCGCACCAATGTATTTTTCTGGTTTAGAAAGCCTTTGCTAAGAGACTACTTTATTCTGTTAGAAGCCTGTCTTGAGCATTTAAAGATTACTCTGATTATTGTGTTCCTTGTGTTGTACAACCCCAAATCAGAAACAGTTGGGACAGTATGTCAGATCAAACTAAAAATAGTGATTTGCAAATCATGTGTCCTGTATTACATTGAAAACAATACAGCAGCACATTATTTAAAGTGAAACCTCATCAATTTCAATTCTCAAAATAAACACTTAAATTCTGATGCCTGTAACACATTGATTTGATTTGATTTATTCTTTCAAGCATGTAAAACTGTTGATATGACAACCCACATAATTTTACACATAATCCAATATCAATTTGCTTATACCTAGTACATGCTTGAATGGAGTAGGAAGAAGTCAGACTTATCTAGTCCTACCCCATGACATCATCTTACCATCATTGGTTTGCAAGCAGTACATGATTCACTTCTACGCACACACATATTATACTAAAGAAAGAATATAACAGTGTTAACATTCTTACATCACACAAGTAATATACTAAAGAATGTTTACAAAATGTACACCACACCCACAATTGTCCATGTAATTAATCATTGAGCCTGTTCTTGCATATATCTTGATTGACACATACCTTTATATTTATGTTTAAACTCGTCAATTCTATTACTATTTTTTATGTCTACACTTAAATTATTCCATAGTTTTACCCCACTTATGGAAATACAAAATCTTTTTTTGGTTGTACATATAGCATGAATTTTTAAATTTAACTGACCCCT